GGATGAAAGCCCTAGCTCTAACTGTTCAAAAGTTATGGCCAAGGTTAAAGTTTTTTTTCAAAAGTAGGTCAAACTCCAAGGTCAAGGAAAGGGTCAAAGTTATTGGTATCCAAAGAAAGGTCTTACACAATAAATACACATGTAAAGTTTGAAAGCCCAAGCACCAATTGTTCAAAAGTTATGGCTAAGGTTAAAGTCTCATAAAATTTTGCAAAAGCAGGTCAAACTCCAAGGTCAAGGTTGAAAGGTCAAATATGATGTTGGTAGTTAAGAAAGGTCTTGTCACAAGAAATACACATGTGAAATATGAAAGCCATAGCTCCAACCAATCAAAAGTTATGGGCAAGGTTAAAATTTTTCAAAATTAAAGTAGGTCAAACTCCAAGGTCAAAAGGTCAAAGTTGTTGGTATCCAAAGGAAGGTCTTGTCACAAGGAATACACATGTGAAGTATGAAAGCCATAGCATCAACTGGTCAAAAGTTATGGCCAAGGTTAAAGTTTTTTTTCAAAAGTAGGTCAAACTCCAAGATCAAGGTCAATGGGTCAAAGGTGTTGGTATCCAAAGAAAGATCTTGTCACAAGAATTACACATATGAAGTTTGAAAGCCCAAGCACCAACTGTTCAAAAAATATGGCCAAGGTCAAAGTCTCACAAAATTTTGCAAAAGTGGGTCAAACTCCAAGGTCAAGGTCAAATGTGATGGTACCCAAAAAAAGGTCTTGTAACAAGAAATACACATGTGAAATATGAAAGCCATAGCTCCAACCAATCAAAAGTTATGGGCAAGGTTAAAGTTTTTGCAGACAAACAAACAGACTGACAGACAGACAGACAGATGGACAGGGCAAAACTATATGCCCCCGAATCTTCAATTACAGGGGCATAAAAACTTGTAACAATATTATAATTGCTCATTTGACTTAACCTTCAGTACAGGGAAAATAACCTGAGATCTTAGTTTTTGCTGTAGATAAAATAGCAAATTAATAAAACTGTGAATAAAATGCATGTAGAAGGTCATTATATGAAGACAAACTTTATATTTGTACGAATTTAAACACCCACCAGTACCAAAAGCTGGTAAAGGTCTTCAGGAATGAAACCAATATCACTAAGTTACATTATCAAAACCTCAAGTTAATGCCTACCATCTGAAATAGGTTCTGCCAGCAAGCCACATGTCCACCCCCCCCCCCCCCCCCCCCCCTTGTTGGTGGTCCTGGAATGCTTTTGGTAGTTAAGTGACAGTGGCAAAAGGCAAGTCTCCAGCACCTTTAAATAACTAGTACCTGTGACTAGGGGAAGGAAAACCCCAACAGAAAACCATTGGTCCTCTGGGTTCAGGGGGATTTGCATAGGGTTAGCAATCCTATCATGTAAAACCTCTCCCCACTACAGAAACCAGAGCAACAGAAGAAATCCAATGCTCAATTCAGGGAGACCTAGAGGTTGTAAGACACAGACTGGTGAAAGCCATATGGAAACCAGTCAACCAAAAGATATGACAATGAAAGCAGTAACAAGGATAGGGACCTGGAATGTGAAAACCATGTTCGAAACGGGGAAGGCAGTCCAGGTAGCCCAAGAGATGAGGAGGTACAAAATCCAACTTCTTGGAATATGTGAAAGCAGATGGAATGGAACTTGCATGTCTACACAGACTAGTGGAGAAACAATCATCTACTCTGGACATGCAGATGAAAACCACGAACACACAGAAGGAGTTACCATCACAATGTCCTCAGCTTCAGCAAGTGGGACTGATAGAATGGGAACCAATCTCAACAAGGATAATAACAGCAAAATTCCACTCTAAAGGATGGAAAGTAACTGATTCAGTGCTACTCACCAACATACACTGTAGATGACCAAGATGTGACATCAAAATCTTGACTGGTGACATGAATGCCAAGACAGGTGCAGACAACTCTGGGAGAGAACTCATCATGGGCACCCAGGCACTTGGGGACATGAATGAGAATGGAGAGTTGTTCACAGATTTTTGTGCATTCAATGACCTTGTGATAGAAAGAAGTGTCTACCAGTACAAAAACATCCACAGAGACGGGGGGTTTCCCCTGATGGAAAACCAGAAACCAAACGTACTTCATCACTATCTCTAGGAAGTGGAGATGTGGTCTCCTCGATACGAGCTGTGGACAACTGAAAAAGGCTGCCCAAAACAGAGTGCACTGGAGGACTGTTGCTGAGGCCCTAAGTTCCACCCAAAACCAAAAGAAGCCATGATGATGATGGGTATCAAAGGAAAAACAGCAAAAATTTACGTTCCCAAATTCTAAAACCCATACAGACTTTTTTTCTTTAATTTTCATCAATTGTTTAAAAACAGATGACTTTACAGAGCACTGACAGTAGACCCATTTTTGGGAAATGTGTTTCAAGAAAAAAAAGTTATTGAAACTGTTGACTTACATGTAGAGAGAGAACATCAAGCCTCTTCAGTTGACCTAGAACCCCTACAGCATTGTGAAGGGAGTGGATTCTGTTACCGGACAAATTCAGGATTTGTAGATGAAAGCAGCTGGTCAGGGGAATCATTTCTGTCTGAAGGAAATAACAATGTCAAGATTCTATTAACATCTGAAAATATTGTTATGTTTCATGGAAATTTCAAAGGTCATCTAAGTTTGGAATGATTAGAACTCATGTCAGTATCACTGACTTAAATCTGCAAAAATTTGTTACCACTGCACAACCTAAATTACCTCATTTAGCAGTTACTTTCACTTGTTTATAAGTCTTTACACAGTGACATTTTCTTTCTTCAAATTCATACATTCATCTTGAGAATTAAGTTATGTGTATGCCTTGTACCTACCACTTCATTCCTTTGTGCGTACAATTCTCTTAGTTGTGGTAGTGCTTGGACACCATCCAGAGACTTGATCTAAAACAATGTATGTACATGATATATAGTCCTAACATCCTGTTGTTTTTTATTTATTTTGTGAAAGGAGAGAAAAATAACTCACTGAACCATTTTAAACAATTGAGAAATCACTGCTATTCAGTTTTTTATAAAATAAATAGGGGCATTATTATGTTTTTGAGAATTTCATCAATTAAAATTATCTAGTTTATTCACCAAGAAACGTCAGTACTTTACTTAAATACGAAATTCTCCTTTGGCTTACCGTACACATGACAAAAAAAAAGTTTTAAAGTATGTACAAGTACCTTATTATTATTTAAGTTAAGGATCTGCAGGTTCATCATGCTTGGCATGTATGATATGTCCTCCAGTTCATTCATGCTGAGATTCAACTCAACCAAGGAACTACTTCTCACAAGGTTCTCAATTTGAGATATAGAATTGTGGGATAAATTCAAGGAATACAACTTTTTACACACCTCTATACCTATGAATCTGAAATAACAGAAAATTGCTATGTAAACTAAAGCATTATATCAGTAAAAGTTAAGAGATAATAATATTTAAACTGGATGTTTTATTCACATTTATTGATGGTTGTAAGTGTTGAATAAAATTTCCCCACATAGTTTTATTTGAACATCATTGTTAAGATTAATTTAGCTAATTTTTACTTTTAAGTTCTTTGTCAATTATTTTGGAGCAAAAACTTTACACAATCAATATAGATTAACATAGTACAGTGTATCTAATTTTCCTCCCAAAATGTAGAACAAATGAAAACTGCATTTCTACATACTTTGTATATTTTAATGAAACATTTTTCATATAACATTTCTGTATCCATGCAAAGGAAAAAGTACTGAATTGAATATTCATGCTTACTTGTTTATTTTGTTTAATGATGCATTCAGTTCTCGCAGATTCTGAAATGGTAGGAAACTCTCATGCTCTAAGGAAGACAACTCATTTAAAGATACATCCATCTTGAGGATACGAGAGGGTGTATCAATCACAGAGGACAATCTGGCCTGTGGCTCCCTGTAAAAGAAATGTGTTTTTACAATGAAAAGAAAAGTAGATGCTCTCATTCGAATATATGGAAAATGAAAAACTATCAATGAAAAATACTGAACATGAATTTCTGGAGCCTTAACTGGCTTAAGACATATTAAATATAGAGAGACACACAAAATAAAAAACTAAAAATCGATAAATGAAGTGCATGAAGAAAATTTTATATAAACAAGTAATACGTATCAACAATAAAAAATTTCTTAATCAAGCTTATAAATTCTTTTAAAAGAAAAGGACAGACTTTTGCCTTCATACGAGATGGCAAAAGCCTGTCCACTTCTCTAAAAAGAATAAATCAAGTTCCAACCTTTCATCTCCCCAGTGGAAGCTGAATACAATATCTCTCAACTGGCACATCTTTAAATCTAGCTCATAGTTGCTTCCCCTTGTTTCTACTCCCCATTCACCAGGTTGTATCGTAAGGGGGTGAATTCTTCTTTCTACAAAATCTCGTGTCAGTTGCTTTGCCATGCTACCACTTGTTGTGACAGCCCCGGAAAATCAATTTCTTCGGTAACAAGTATGATAATTTTTTCAAAATTGAAAAATTGTTTACATTAGTTTCCTTGGAGCGGAAGTACCTGTTCATCGAATTACGATCCCGATTTAAATATTCAATTCTTGAATTGTTCATCGCTTCAGCACACAGCTCTGATTATAACTTCTTTTGATAAAGCACATTGATTCAGGATATTTAAACATGGTAATATGTATGGTTGAGATATAAATATATGACTTTGTCAATTATTTTTCATAAGCTAATTTAAGGCCATCTGAACATGCTGAAGTAGGCACAAACCAACTTCCATACCAGAAAAGACCAGCAGCACAATATACGCTTTAAAAAAATTCTATTGATTGAGGTTTAGAAAGATAACATTCCTCTGTTTCCAGATTCTTTGTAAAGTGACTGTCGAATGATATTACAGACTAATTTGTAAGAAAAATATGTGCTTTACTTTTATGACACCCTGTAGGCAATATGTAATAAACAGTTTGTACACTTGGACTTGTTTAAATGATCATTTTAGTACCAGGAAGCGCGATACTCGTGTTACTGCTAGCTAAACATGAAAGTAAACATGATGTCAGATGACCCCAAAAACCAGCCAGTTGAATTGATAAGAGTTTTACATGCAGTCTACGGCAGGACTGGCAGGTAACGTTGTTTAATACAGGATATGACATCGATCCCTATTTCTAGTGTTTGTTGTCAGTAAAAGGTGTTATTTTCTTAACAGAAAGAAAATTGCAATGTCCTTTTTACGCAGTATATATATATTCTTATGGAAAAAAAATCATTCAGAGGGGTGTTTCAACTAGTATAAAATGGCATCATGACATAGTCATGTTAGCAGGGTTAGTCTTATAGGCATAGATATGCATGATAGCTGAGAAGAGTTATAATGCAAGGTTTCGATCACTCTACCTGGTGCACCAAAGAAAAAAAATGAAATCAAGTCCTTGCAATATTCCAAAGGGCAAAGCAAAGTAATGTGGGCCAAAAAAAAAAAAATGTGTTTCAAGGGAAATAACTCTGAAAGACTTCAGTTAGGCTGATAGTCCCTTTGCATTCTTGCAGGTGAAGAAATGCCTACTCCAGTAACAGAGGCTGCCAACCCCATCACAGAGAATATTGATGTTGCCAGCCCTTTAGGTAGGTGTAAAGACAATTGTTCTATAAAATCTAATTATCAATTTATTGTGCATAATCATTACCTGAAACTGATTTTGAGTACATTTTTTTCTCTCTTGTAGATATAGTTTCTTTGCTTCATAAATGTGATCAAGAAATATTCGAAGGTTGGAATGAGTATAAAGTAAGTATAAAGTAATCAATTGCATGTATAGTGAATACAGAAGTATGCCTAAAAGTTTAGAAGGCTTCTAGAGTAAAGGTATAATACGGATTTCATATTATAAATGTTAAGTTTTCCTTTATTTTCAGAGTTTATATGATGCAGATGTGTTGGCAACCTTAGACAAATTAATCACCGTTGCAGCCTCTGTTATCAAGGTTTGTTTATTACATAGATCCTGTGTCAGTGAAGTACAATTTTTCACACCCCTCTCTATATGATATAGTTGTTTTTATCCAAAATGGGTTGAGGTAGGATTCGATACAAAATCTTTAATGCATAACATCACTGAATTTTATTTCAGAATCCCTCAACAGGTGCTGTAGTACTTAGTGGCTGTGGAACCTCTGGCAGGATTGGTTTTATTACGACAGTAAGTTTAACTTGTTTCATTATTATGGGAATGGTAAATGATGACTATTTAAAGATAATGATAGCTGTCTCTCCTTATTACAGAGAACTTTCAATGCAAAGCTGTCTGAATTGTCCAGGCTGCCATGTTTCAAATATCTTATAGCAGGGAGGGATAAGTAAGTGCCTGCACCACTTACAACTAGTCAAGGAATTATCATTTGTTCACTGTTTTTATGACAGCTCTAGCAATTCTAGTTTTGTGTCATAACAAAGACACCCATTTCTAGATTTAGATTCCCTTCATTTAGATGATTGTAATTATTTTCTGTTTCTGTGTTGGATTTAGAGCCCTGTTTACCTCCCAAGAGGCCCCCGAAGATGATCCACAATGTGGAGTGGAAATGCTGAAGGAGGTCTGTATTGAGCGTACTACATGCTTAGCATAAAATATAAGGACAGTTCTCTGTAATCCAATATAAATTCTTGATTTATTGTCAGGCAACAGCTGGGAAGAAGCAGGTGCTCTTTATTGGAATAACATGTGGGTTGTCTGCCCCTTTTGTGGGAGGTCAGCTTCAGTACTGCCTAGATAACCTAGATGTGTTCACACCTGTAGTTTTAGGGTTCAATCCCACTCATCTAGCAAGGTAAGGTCAGGTTCTACCTAGATAACCTAGATGTGTTCACACCTGTAGTTTTAGGGTTCAATCCCACTCATCTAGCAAGGTAAGGTCAGGTTCTACCTAGATAACCTAGATGTGTTCACACCTGCAGTTCTAGGATTCAATCCCACTCATCTAGCAAGGTAAGGTCAGATGCTATCTGGTCATCTGGATAACCTACTAGATGTGTTCACACCAGTAGTTTTGGGGATTTTTACAGCTCCTTTCTTTTTCTCAGTTGTTTAAGTGGCACCATTGTAATGGACTGAAAATGAAAACAAAACTGGTGTAGTATGATCATTATTTTTCTTTTCTTTCAGAAATAATCCAATAGAAAAATGGGATTCCACTTTTTTACAAGGCAAGTTTTAAAAGAAATGTACATGTATGTGTCTAACAATCTACTGTTATCTGTTGTAAATTGATCAACAGAAAAATCTCCCAAATCTGTGATAGAAGGAATTTAGAATGGAGAATAAGAATGATAAGGTATAAGCTGCATGGTTACAAAATTTAATTTTTTTCTTGCAGTGGTGAACAAAATGGAAGAAATGAAGGCCTCCTCTAAAGTGTTTATTCTGAATCCCGTTGTTGGGGTATAAGTTTTAACAAAACTGTTTCTCACAAATAATGTATTGCAAGTTAAGAGAAACAACGAAATATAGTGTAAATGTTTTTTGCACTTTTTTTTTTTCATTTCAGCCAGAGCCAATCACTGGGTCTAGTCGAATGAAAAGTGGGTCAGCGACTAAAATCCTTCTGGAGACAATTTTTGCAGGTGCTACTTTATCTGTTCTGCCTGTGGAAAGGCCTTGGTAGGTACATGTATGTTCATCTATACTTCATGAATGTTAATAGATTTATAAATAGAGAAATCCATTACTGAATGTGAATTGTATCTGGTCCTAGTATATTTATTTTGTCAGTTCTGAACTGCTAACAATAGTTTTTAGTTAATATACATGTATGCTCATATTATAAGAATAGTTCTATATTGTAGGCAGACAGAACCTTTCCTTCGGTGCTATCAAGCTGTATGTGATCATATTTATACAAAAGAAAACATAAGGAATATTGCTCAGATAGTAGAACTGGCAGGAAATAGGTATGTAGGCAGTATTAAAATTAAATTATCAGTATGTCAATAAATGATCCCCTAAAACTAATAATTTTTATTTTTCTCCAGTTTGAGGTCTAATGGCAGCATATACTACGTTGGTGAGGACACACTAGGCATCATGGGAATGATAGATGCCTCTGAATGTCCTCCAACTTATGGATCTTGTTAGTTTCTCTTATCTTACTTAAAGCCCATCAGTTTTCTGGCGGTAGATTTTCTTAATAAGAAATTTTTTTGTGGATGATAGAATTTTATGAGATAATTTGAACTATTTTAGCTCTTTCTGATGTGAGAGGATTTTTGGACCAAGGTTACAAAGCTTTCAGGAACAATGATGGAGACCTCAGCTTATTGGTGAGTACGTCAGTGTGTAGGTGTATTCTGGAAAATGTTAAGTAAAACAAGCTTATATTAACAAAAAGTCAAGGACAGATGATTTTATTTCATTATAAAGATAATTCGTTATATCTGTTAAATTCACAATATATTTTAAAGCCACAGAAAATGAAAATTGCTTTGCTGTAAGCATCGGATTATAAGATGTTTGCTATGAGTGTGTTTTACAGTTATGAAATCAGGCAGACTGAAAAATGTAACGAAATTAAAAGATCAACATAAATGCAGCTTATGCAAGGCAACAAATTTAAAAAGGAAAATTTCCACGTCCTTTGATAACCTATCAGCATGCTCATCTGTCCACTTCCTGTCCAGGCCATACCTTTTAAATGGAAAAATTTAATATTAAATGCTCTTTTGTATCGGAAACAAAGTCTTTTAAAAGTAGAGAATGTGTAATGACCTTGAACTAACATCATTTAGAAGATCAATGTCAATGGTATTTTTAGTGTATGAATTATTAATTCTTTATTTCTGTACTCTTATGGTTTATAAATATTTCCTTAATATTTCAGGGTAAACACTTCCAGATATCATTTAATGATATGAAGAAGGACATCCTACCTTTTGTAAAGCCTTCTGATCTAGTCATTTACTTATCTCAGGGTATATATTTGTCACTTTCAAGGAAGTTAAACTAATGATATTCTAAATGTTATACAAAAAGAATGTATTTTGCTGTAAGGTAAAAGGAAAAAAAAAGAAGATTTTTAAAGAAAAAGTAAAAGGAAAAAGATTTATAAAGATAAAGTTTGAAAATGATATTCAAGTAGTACTGTACATGTACACCTGACCTATAAGGAAAAAAATGTGCCAATCAAAAAGTTGCTATATTGAGAAAAACAGCTTTTTACTTCTGACCTTGATATATTGAGGGGAAAAATAGCAAACTTTGCTTATTTTATTGAAAATGAATATTAAAGTTCAGAAATCACAAAAGCATAATTTAATCATGTGTATGATATATCACAACTGACTTAACATTTGCTTCAAAATTGTAAAAAGAAAAAAAAAATTGTCTAAAGAAATTGTAAAAATTGTAAAATTAAAAATCATTAAATTTTCACAATTTTGAAAGATAAAGTTGAAATTCACTTATTGTTTCAATTTTTACAATTTTTTTTTTTTTTTTTAAAGAATTTTCTAGATTTCTAGGTTCTTCAGATATTAATTAAAGTACTTAGTATAAATTTAGACATGTTCTGTATTGAATGAATTCTTGACATAATTTTTACATTGGTAATGTATATTGCATGTTTAAGTCATCTAAATGCCTAACACATGGTGATATGAATTTTTCAGATGGTAAAATTGATGAAACTGTGACAAAATGCCACTGCAAGAAAGCCCTTATTTCTTTTGCCAGTAATTCCCCTACAGTAAGTATTATTACATGTAGCTTACCTGAGCTAGAGACCACAATATTATCAGCTGAGCTAGAGGCTACAGTAAGTATTATTAGCTCACCTGAACTAGAGGCTACTGTATGTATTATAAGCTCAGCTGAGCTAGAGACTATATTTATATAATAGTGTTGTACTTTGCATGCACTATGCCTAAATAGTAGTCAGGGTTTGACACATGGTGCACGAGCCGGAGGCGAGTGCACTATGTGTCAAACCCTGACTACTATTTAGGCATAGTGCATGCAAAGTACAACACTATTGTTATTATTATGCTGACTGTTGTATAAAAATGACAATATTTTCTTCATTTCCAATGTTTCATCACCTCTTACATTCATGTTAGTACACCCCTATTATGACGTCACGTTGTGCTACATGTACGTCATAATCTTTTTTCTTTAATTTTGAATGTTCCATGAACAGATAGTTTCAGAGAATTTTTAATTAGTTGTGGGAAGCGTAAAAAATTACAAGATACTATTTTTATTATTTTGTTTATTTTTTTTTCTTTTAGTGTAAAATATTTGAAACTAAGTTTATATATATTATAATACAGTGCTATAGATAACGGCGTCTGTGAGGTAATCGGTAGCGTGTCGGACTGAAAATCTCGGGGTCATGAGTTCAATACCCGGCGTGGGCACTGTCGGATTTTCTTCAGAAAAAGAAGCCGTGCTCTATTTCGGCATAGTATGCTTACGCTATATAAATCCTTAGACCACTATGCGAAAATAGTTGGGTATTGACTATAAAGAGACAAACTGACAGGAAGCATAATAATATGTAATATTTGCATTTGCAAATGCTTTCCTTTATATAGCACTATTGAAAGCAATGTGTATCTATATCTGTATAAACACTAAACACAGGTTCCTCATGTCATAAACGTTCGACGTAATTTCTCAGTGACGTCATAAAGGGTCGATGCGCAATCAATGGATTAAACACGTGTCGTTGAGTTTGAAAAATAAAACACTTCACACGTTAAAGATTCTAATCAGGCAAATATAAAATATAAATAAGTCACAAATGTAAATATAAGTAATAAGGTACTATTTTTAAACATCTGTCGGGATATAAATACGGGTTGGTACGAGATCAAATTTGCCATAAAGCCCTTCGGGCTTAATGGAATTTGATCTCGTGACCAACCCGTATTTATATCCTGATAGATGTTTAAAAAATGATACCTTATTTCTTAATCATGAGCTCACCTGAGCTAGAGACTCGTATAAATCTTTGTCCAGTGTACATTGTATGTACATGTATATCAGTATGAATGTTAAGTGGTGCATATACATGTATATAGATTCAAGTTAGTTCAAATCATGACCCCAAGGGGTAGGATGGGGCCATGATAGGAGATTAAAGTTTCTGTTATGAGAATGGGGAAAAGTCTTCCTTTAATAAATAAAAAAAAACAATTTTTACTCATTTATGTGCAAACATCCTCCGATAGTTCAAGATGGTTCAGATCAGGGCCCCCAGGAATAAGTTTAGGCTACAGTAGGGGATCAGATTTTTTAAAAATGAAGTATGTAGGAAGAAATCTTTTTCAAGAGTGGCAAGTTTAGCTGGGTAAGAGCTGAGCAAAAATCAGTGATCCTGATTCTTCATAATGCCTATGGAAAAACAGCAGAGGCAAGCTATTGACAAATAAGTTGATGAAAGAATATCAAAAATCTCATTTAAAGTCAACATTTTGCAAATTCTATGTCAGTAAAATGACCTTGTTTGAAGATACAGCCTGTCATTAAGTCAAATGGTGGCTGGCATTTTTCATACCAATTGTTAGGTCATTATTTTCACCCTCAAATGTCTCCAGATTTCTCTGTTTACCCAGTCATGATAAGTAACACATACCAGGTGTGACCAGCCGACTGGGGATGCTTACTCTTCCTTGGCACCTGATCCCACATCTGTTTTCAGAGGTTCTTAATGGCTGTGCACACAATTTGCATTGTTTAAATGAATTTTGAGCATGATCATAGTTGGTTATCTTCACATTTCATTGATGCATCCCAAATTTGTGTGGATTCAACTTTGAATAAATCATAAATCATAGCTCCCAAGGACTAGGCTTTGGTCCAGAAGATTGAGTCAAAATTTTAACGAAATTAGGAGATTTTTTTTTTTAAATCTGATGTCAGGACCATAGTCACTAAGGTGACTATTGTCACCCTTGGACCTCTTGATTTTTTTTCTGTTTTCACCAACTCGCTGTTAAAAATTTATCTGAAAAGATAAAAATGCTCAGTGTATATGGAAGGGGGGGGGGGGAGGAGGAGAGATATGCCATGGGGAAAGAATCATTTAGCTTTGCAGAAGCATTCACGGGCAGATATAAGAGGATTTTTTTCTGAATTCTGTGAATTTGCATCCAGATAGGCCACAATTTGACGAAGAAAGAGAAGTAATTCAAGTTTGTGTACTTGCATTGCTAAGTTTGGTAGAGAAATAAGTTGAACGTGTTCTCTAGGTGCCCTTTAGTTTAAACCTTTTCCATCTCTGCAGCAAATTTGTTACATTATGTTATAGCAGATTTTGTGCCAATCGTAACTTCCTTCAGACTTTTTGAATTTGTCATACTAAAACTTTTTTAAAAGATCAAAAACAGTTTTTAGTTCATGATCTAAATAATAGATGACTTTTTCAGAGAGATATGATGGATGTTGAAGTTGGTATATCATTGCCAAAAGATAAGTTAGTCTCCCTGATTGGGGAGGAAGCCGTAGACCATTTCCTGATGTTGTTTGAGGAGATCAGCTTAAAGTGGATTTGCAACGCCATCACAACAGGTGCTCATGTCCTCAAGGGGAAAGTCTTCCAAAACATTATGGTGGACCTCAAAGTCAGGTTAGCACAGTCCTTTACACAGTATTTCATGTTTCTTTTAAATTACCTGTCAACTTATTTACTTCCTATTCCTGGTAATTCACTTTTAAAAGAAATGTATTTAATTTTTGAAAATTCTTGAGGACATAATTATGACACTATATAAATGCTGGTATTTTCTTGATGCGTGATAAATATGCATTAAGCATTATAGTTTAAAGTACCTCATGAATTTCCAAAACTAAATTCACATTAAATTATGCCATTCATCTGTTTAAAACAAAACAGTTTGCACTAAAGTTTTGACATCCAGTAGGGTATTATGACGTAACAATATATAGAGATACTCATGCTCATTATAGTTCATGAGAAAATGAACTTTTTTCTAATTTGTAAAGACTAATTGAAAAGTGTAAATATTTGCCACTAACCACAGCTACCAATCAGCAATAATAATAAAATGTAATTTCACTTTTCACATATTTACAATCATGCATACTGTAAAAATAATGTTAAATATTTTGATTCAGAAAAATGAAATTATTTTGATTCATTTTGTACTAATTAAAAGGTTGAAATAAAGAAACTAATTTTTTCAATTTTTTTCCAGCAATAACAAGCTTTTCCACAGAGCTATTGGCATCATACAGGTTACTTCCTTACTTTAGTTGTTTGAATCAGTATTATCTGGAGAAGTTTTATCAGAAGAATGTGTGTAAAACCTTATCGTAAAAAAAAACAACACCTTTTTGCATGTAATACTTCATTGTCTTGTAATACTGTGGAATCATTAAAATTCATGGGGACCAGTTTTTGTGGATTGCTTAAATTTTACAGGTTCATGGGGACATAATTTCATGTATTCACTCATATTTACAATTAGAAAAGATGACTTTGAAACTCCGTTTTTTTTCAAATTCATGGAGGATGTAAATTCATAGATGAGAGGCACCCACAAATTCCACGAATATTGAGTCACCATGAAATCTAATGATTTCACTGTCTGTATTAAGTCAAAAGCTCCTTTTTGCAAGTCCTACTTCATCATGTTTAATATTGTAGAGGTTCTCAGGGTTGTCCACAGAACAGAGTAGGGATTACCTGCTTCAGTCTATTTATAACACAGATAGCCTCACAGAAAATGTCAGAAGTTATAACATATCTAGTCATATAGAAACCGCTACACCTCTATCTCAGGTAAAGTGTAATACATGTATATATATATAAAGTCAAATAGAACCTGTTGATCCTATGCCTCAGGTACAAGGCAATAAAGATTTCTATGTCTAGTACAGTATGATATAGTTATATTGTCATTGTTATTCCTCTATCTCAGGTGTAGTACAATAATGTCACATAAAAACTGTTACAGTACCCATATGGTCATAAAGGAAAAGCAGCACATCTATCACAGTTTCATCAAATATACCATTTCTGAAATTTATTCATTATCAGAACTCCTCTGAAAAATAGAGCAAATCCAAATTGGACAAGGGAAATAACTCTGAGGAAAACATTCATAGTTAACGTTCAGAAAATTCTTTAGAGTCTAAAGAGGCTATAATGTCATGAATGATAGCATAATTTATTTTTTGTGAATCTAGTAGACAGCATTGAATTAAAAATACATATCTTTGGAGGTAAAATTAATCTTAACTTTGTTACAATATAAACAGCAGAAGAGCTTATGTATTAGTGCTACTCATCCTAAACTTTGGGTTTGATTTCATTTATTTTGAAATTTGGTTTAAATTTAGTTAACACCAGGATACATATTTGTGTAAAATTGTGTTTCAAGTCCATATTGTAAGCAAATCAGTAGAGCTACAGTCTTATTAGAAACTTCAAATTAAAAAATATTTTAATAGATTAAAAAAAAAAATGTAATGTTGTAACGGGGAAGAGAAAAATGTGATGGACCAGACCTGGATTTAAACCCGATGCCCCCTGAATCTCTAGTCAGGCGCTCTACCAAGCTCTCTGGCCACCAGCAATCGAACCTGTGTGATTGCCACAGTATTAGTTTGCTTTTCGTAAATTATGCATATCATTTGCAATTTGAACAGCCACAGCTACTGCCCTTGAAATACTGTAGATAATAACAATCTGAGCTCTATAGCCAGTCAAAACAAGCTATCCTTATTACTCAGCCAGTCAAAACAAGCTATCCTTATTACTTAGCCAGTCAAAACAAGCTATCCTTATGACTTAGCCAGTCAAAACAAGCTATCCTTATTACTTAGCCAGTCAAAACAAGCTATCCTTATTACTTAGCCAGTCAAAACAAGCTATCATTATTACTAAGCCAGTCAAAACAAGCTATCCTTATTACTAAGCCAGTCAAAACAAGCTATCCTTATTACTTAGCCAGTCAAAACAAGCTATCCTTATTACATAGAAAGTCAGACCATAACCAGTATAATAAAGGAATACAACACTTTGGAATTTAAAGGTTAGGAAAATTTGTTCATGAGTAATGCTAAGTAAAGTGACAAAATGATTAAATGATTTATGTTTTATCTCCAGGTTGTACCTCGAGCTCTGCTGTCAGCCATTCTACACTGCAGTGTGTCAGAATCCCATAAACTGTTAGAAAAAGAACCAGTGATACAAAGGGTTATATCTCAAACACTGTCTGGACTACAGAATAACAAATAAAACCAAAAGTTACCTCTCAAAACTGTCTGCACTATGTAATATCAATATTAATATCAAGTTTTGTGATTTCTCCAACAGTAACTGGATTACAAAACAACAAATTGTAATATGTAATACATAAGAAGATTTTATTTCAAAATCTGTCAGGGCCAGAAAAATAGCAAAAAGAATGGGTCTGAAACTCTGGATTTCAGAATTTTGACATATCTGCTTCAGTAATGATTGTTGGATAATCAGCTCAAATGAACTAGAACCCAGTGCAACTTACAGTTTACATTATATTTATGAAATTCTCTTTTTTGCACATTTTTAAAATGTATGCTTGCTTATAACATTTTTGAATTATTCAGGAATTGTACACCATTTCAGTTGGTTTTATGGTATAATGTACATGTGTGAATAGTGACTATGAATAGTCTTCTTGGTTACCATTTTCATTGTAAACTAGACTGTGGTCCTTATTTTTGGAGTGCTATCCTCCATTTTGGGTACAGGTTCTTTGGTATGAGATCTAGGGCATTAGAACACATTGATTAATTCAGGTAACTATAAATTATCCAGCCATAACCAATCACTGCTCTCATAGTCATTGATTTTATGAAATTTTATGTTTTTTAATTAATAAAATTCTTGCCAATTGATTGTGGTGGTGTTATTCTTCATAACATCCAGTGGGCTCTGTGTGTACTGATATTCCAACGTAAATGTAGTAATAATATATTGTACTGTGATCTACTTTCTGAATTTTATGGTTAATCATTTTCAAAACATTTGGATACTGAGAGGTTTAGAATCATCAAATCTTGTAAGTTGATGCATCTTGGGGCCTTAAAACATATTTATCAAAAAGTAGGTGACAGTGACCTACCAGTACTTTCTGAATTTTGCAGCTTTTCATTTTTCAAATTGTTTTAGAGGCATATTTTGGAGCTTTGAAGCCTATGATCATTAAACCTTGTCAGCTGATGCATCCTAAGGACTCAAAGTATTTCAACCAAAAAGTAAGTCAGTGTGACCTACTTTTGGAATTCCATGCCTATATTTAAATATTTCAGATACTAATTGGTTTAGAATCATCAAAATTTGTCAGTTGATGCATCTTGGGTCCACAGAATGTGTCAACTAAAAAGTAGGTCATGGTGACCTACTTTTGGAATTTTAAGGCAATATCTAAATATTTCAAATAATAAGAGGCTTAGAATCACCAAACTTTCTCAGTTGATGCATCTTGGGGTCTCAGAGTATGTTAAACAAAAAGAAGGTCACAGTGACCAAAATTTGGAATTTCATGGCTATATTTGAATGTTTAAGATAATAAGCTTAGAATCATCAAACTTTCTCAGTCGATGCATCTTGGGTTCTCATTGTGTAAACACAATGTAGGTCATGATGACCTACTTTTGGAATTTCAAGGATTTTTCTAAATATATAGGATACCAAGAGGCTTAAAAGTGATAGGTTGTACAATTTATCAGAAGAGCGATTCTAGGCCCTTGGGCCTCTTGTTAACTTTTGGCTTGATGTCTGTGGTTGAGCACTTGGATTAAATTGTCAGAATGACGGAGATGAGATTTTACTGCATATATGAATTGATGGCCTCAGGACTATAACAAAAAAAAAAAAAAGACAACATATAAACAATTGTTTAAGGAGGAATTTACTAGTTTCTTCATGGTCTTATCTGGAATAAGGGAGTTACCCTCTACAATCCATGTCTTTATATATGTATATGATTTTAAAATATGATGCAAAAAAAAATGGTGCCAGACAAGTAATTTTTAAGACCTAATTATTTTATTGTACATATCTGTCAACCTGAAATATTTACGAATAATGATTTTAAGTGTATGCAAGACAAGAACATATTACAAACACTAGATCTAATATTAAACCCTGTAGCAAAATCAAGAGTTCCATGAGCCACAACAATTGCATGTAAATAATATGGAAATCAAATGCAATTTTTTTTAAAGAATTTAGATATAAATTACACAAATTACGAACTGGATTTTTTTAAAAGTGTTTAATATACATCCCATTGTTGCCACATTCTGCCTCGGGCAATCATAATCCTGATTCCCAATCATATGAACCTGAAATACTCCATAAAAAAGCAGGCAAACTAGAGCAATATCTGTCCTAATTTGACTAACATATCCCCAGAAAAGCAACAAGAGAAAGGCCATATGTGAAAAAAGCTTTTATAAATAAAAGTATTAGCCTCTAAAATACAGAGCCCAAGCAAGGTTTAAAATTTCTGGGTCATGTGACCTTGTCTCAATGTTCAATACTTAGAAACAAGGTCACAAGCAATCTTTTTGAGAGCATTAATTTTTCCAAACCCTCTGACCTTCACCTCTTCTAAATGACCTTGGTTCAAGGCAGACACATTTAACCTAAGAGTAATAGTAAAGAGAAGAACTGTGTTCTGATGAATTTAATGACCTTGTTTCTGGGTCAACACATACCTATTGCAACCCCAACACCAACCCAACCCCCTCCCCCAATGGAGACAAGACTTAATTTCAAAAATACAGGGAACCCTGTATTTCCATTAACCCTATAGACTTTGTGTGTGTATGTGTGTGTTTGTGTGTGTGTGTGTGTGGGGGGGGGGGGGGGGGGCTATGATGTTTTACCATTAAGAAGCAAGTACTTCTAGGGGAAACAAACAACCCAATCCTACTTGCACTATATTCTTATGATCTTCCCTTATAGATTTGCCTCATACAAGACCATTTGTTTAAATAAACTTATGACTCTTTACCAAAAAAGAAACAAAGAAAAGAGGCCCAAAGGGACTGGTTACCTGAGTATAATGTAACACTGTCAAAGGATCCAAAGATTGAGTAGAAGGGGCCGCATCGCTCACCTGAGCACTGTGGCTAGGAAACAAGCAAAAATCAGTTTAGTATTGAAAAGCTTAAATGCAAAAGAGGTTCCGACCTACCCCTAAATGGGAGGGTAGGGGTATGATTTGAACAAAATTGAATCTACACTAACTAAGGATACTTACATATTTTTTGACTGTGACTTTTTTTTCACTATAATTTGAACTTTCATTGTGGCCCCACCCTACCCCCAAGTGTCATGATTTGAACAAATTTGAATCTACACTATCTGAGGATGCTTCCAAATAAATATGACCAATCATGGCTTTGGTGTTCTTGAGAAGAAGATTTTCAAAGATTTTTCCTATATATTCCTATGTAAAACTTTGTCCATTGTGGCCCCACCCTACCCCTGGGGGTCATGATTTGAACAAACTTGAATCTACACCACCTGAGGATGCTTTCACATTAATATGACCAATTATAGCTTTGCTGTTCTTGAGAAGAAGATTTTTGAAGATTTTCCTATATACTCCTATGTAAAACTTTGATCATCCACTGTGGCCCCACACTACTCCCGGGGGTCATGAATTTAACAAATTTTAATCTAAATCACCTGAAGATGCTTTCACATTAATATGACCAATCATTGCTTTCCCTTTCTTGAGAAGAAGATTTTTAAAGATTTTTCCTATATATACCTATGTAAAACTTTGATCGTCCACTGTGGCCCCACCCTATCCTCAGGGTCATGATTTTAAGAAACTTGAATCTATACTATCTGACAATGATTCCACATGACTTTCATCTTTTCTGGTTTAGTGGTTCTTGAGAAGAAGATTTTTAAAGGATGTTATTGATTTTTCACTAATTCTTAATTATCCCCCCTTGGAGGAGAGTGTGGCCCTTCATTTGAACAAACTTGAATTCCCTTCAACCAAGGATACTCTGTGCCAAGTTTGGTTGAAATTGGCCCAGTAGTTCTGGAGAAGAAGATGAAAATGTGAAAAGTTTACAAAGACAGACATCAGACAAATTTTGATCAGAAAAGCTCACTTGAGCCTTCGGCTCAGGTGAGCTAATAAAATAAAACAAAATAAGCTGATAAATGAAGCTATGTTGCCCAAAAGCAAGAGAAATAGGATGGTCAGGGATCAGCAAAATAATTTATTTATTGCTCAAAGTTAGTCTTAAAGTTGATCTACTTTTTTGCCCCCATTTGTCACCATCCCCATGCTGATTAAATAAAACAATAGTTCTTGAGCAATATTAGTAAACCAATGTCATTCCCTCTCACACTGGCCTAACTTAGTCTTTGAAGAACATTTAATGTACAAATGCAAGATATTTTTGTACTGTTTTTATTTATTTACTATTTACAAGTCTACCTGACCATTAAAAACTATGAAAGTACTTTTTGTATTAATTATTAAATATTCTTGTATAATTTTTTTTTTCAATTGACCTTTCAATTACATTATTTACAATGTAAATTATAGGTGAATAGCAAAGGGGAATAACTTCTTTCTGTAGAATACAAATTAATAAATTCACCAAGTGGTGCAGAATTTTAACAATCTGGTAACAATACCCTTGCTCATTACAACTTTATATATTCTGTTTGCTGCCTAGATGCCCAGGAGCATAGAAGAAGATTTTCAAAGAAATAATGCATTTTCATTAGATTCAACAAAGTCCCACCCTAACACCAGAGCCCCTGACCCAGGGGCCAAGAAATTCACAATTCATGAGACACCCTTGCTCATCATAACCATTCACTTAGTATGTTTGCTAATTATCCATGGGCAGAGAATAAGAGTTTCAAAGAAATAATGCAGTTTTACTATATATTCAAGAGTCCCACCCTAACACCAAAACTCCTGAACCCATGAATATCAAACTTTTTGAAAAGACATCCTTGTTCATCACAATCATGTAATTAGTTTGACTGCCTAAACACCCAGGGGCAGAGAAGAAGATTTTCAAAGAAATAATGCATTTTCACTATATATTCAACATCTCCCCCACCTGAACCTGAGCCCTGGGGCCACCAATTTCACAATTTGGGAAGGGGCATCCTTGCTCATCATAACCATGCACTTAGTTTATCTGCTAAATACACAGGAGCAAAGAAGATTTTCAAAGAATTAATGCAATTTCACTATATAATCAATACAGCCCCACCCTTACATCAAAACCCCTTACCCAGGGGTCATGAAATTCACAATTTTGGAAGAAGCACTCTTGCTCATCTTAACTTTGCACTTGGTTGTTCAATACCCAATAGCAGAGAAGAAGAATTTCACAGAAATAATGCACTTTCACTATATAATCAACAGAACCCCATCCCCTCCCATAGAACCCTGACCCTGGGGCCACAAATTTCATAATTTTTGGAAGAGGCAATCTATTAACAATAGAGACCCACCCTAAGACCAAAACCCCTGACCCAGAGGCCATGAAATTCATAATTTTGGAAGAGACTCCCTTGCTCATCATAACTATGCACTTAGTTTATCTGCAAAATACCCAGGAGCAGAGAAGATTTTCAAAGAAATAATGCAGTTTCACTAAGTATTCAATAGAGCCCCCCCCCCCCCCCCCCCAACTGAACTCTTGCCCCTGGGGCCACAAATTTCACAAATTTGGAAGAGGCACTCTTGATCACCATAACCATACACTTAGTTTATCTGATAAATATCTAGGAGCAGAGAAGAAGATTTTCAAAGAAATGCATTTTCACTACATAATCAATACAGCCCCACCCTAACACCAGAACCCCTGATCCAGAGGCCATGAAATTCACATTTT